GGAGGATATCCATTGTGAAGAGGGAATCACCCAACAAGGGTTCTGTACTTGACAAAGCACTAAACAAAATTGGAAAGCATATCACTGATATCAATGTCAAAGCTGTAAAAGAAACGTTGTGCGTGCTATTCCTTTTTCATTTAAGGTTGCATGTGGCATACTTGGTGTTCTTAGAGATTGGGAGGCCCTCTTTCAGATATCCAAACACTTATACCATTCGATACCCTTTTGAGCTTGTACTGATTTCTTGGACCTCCCCTCTTTTGGATCAAGTTAGATTCATACGAAAAAAAAAGTTTATGTCCCCATAAGTTTATTTTAAGAGGTTCATTCCAAAGGGAAAATTTCAACAAAAAAAAAAGAAGAAGAGAAAAATAGAGATAAAAAAAAAAGAAAAAAGGGAAAAAGAAAGAAAGAAAAAGAAAAAGGAAAATAGTAACAAAAAGTAGCCTTGTGAACTACGTTCGACCTGATTCTTGTCACCACAAGATACGTAGGCAGCCTCACGGTTCGATTGCACCAAATAAAATATTTCATGATCCCACGAAGTCGAGAGTAGGCAGAAATTCCATCTCAAAAAGAAAAAAATCAAATTCCCTTGCTTTAGAAATTGGGGCAAAGATTTTGAATGGATTTCAAAAGTTGTAAATAAATAAACTCGTTGTCATAGTTATCTTGAGCCTTTATGATATCATTTCTTTCTAATCCTGTCCAAAAGCCACATTACAGTCCAAAAAAGACCTCCCAGATAATCTTTGAGAGTGCTGAGTTTTGGCATGCCAAGGGTATATGATGTTTTACTATGGGTAATGCCTTGTCATCTGTAGAATCGGAGGAAACAAGAAGAAAAGAACAAAATAAGAGAGTCTTATGGTGAAAACCTTCACAGGCACCATAAGGCGACAGTGAGTCGAGAGAAATAACAAAATGAGAGAGGCTTGATAGTGAAAACCCTTCGGGCACTACAAGTCGAATAAGGATCAGGAATCGGATTGGATAATCGGAGCATTGAAACCCAGTTTCACGGCTTAGGGGGGTATAACAAGAGTTGAACATCAGACTTGCTTGACAGATTAGGTCACTTAATCCAAAGGTGCATGTCATGGTCATTAGAGTTGGTATCCATATCTGTTAAGTTTCTACTTTGTAGTTTTCTGGTTATGAATCATCTCTTTCCATTGTCTTTTACTTTGTTCCTTTTGTCTTGTTTACTCCCTCTTCCCGAGTCTGTTTGGTCAGAACAAGTGAGAAATGACTTCAAAATTTGCCACAAGTTTTCCAATTGCACAAAACGGGATCTGGCTAGCACATCAAAGTGTCATAAGTCAGGAAAGAACAGCAAGCGCACTAAGTTGGTAACAATCAACGTGCTTTGAGATTCATGTAAAATACAAAGGATCGGTATATGTCAATTCATGAACAATGCAACAGATAGAGGGTATTGGGTTTGAACGGATAAAGGGCATTTTCTGTGATAAGGTTGACAGAGAAAGTGGTTAACCAATAACAAGCAAGGTCTTCCAATTGAAAATCAAAGTTATCATGGCAAGTGAAGGAGCAATAGACCTCAAGGCCAAGGCCAGTGGCATATGTCAGGAAAGAACAACAAGCGAACTGAGTTGGTAAAAATCAACGTGTTTTGGGATTCACGTGAAGTACAAAGGACGGTAAATGTCAATTCATGAGCACAATGCAACAGATAGAGGGTTTGATTTTGAACGAATCAGGAGTATCTTCTGTGATAAAGGTGACAGAGAAAGTGGTCAGTCAATAAACAAGCAAGGTCTTTCGAGTTGAAATCAAAGTTATTATGGGAAGTGAAGGAGCAATTGCCCTAAAAGTCAAGGCTACAAACCAACCACCATATTTATAAACTCACAAGTTTTTTTTGTTTGAAACAGGGACGAAAATTGTGTCCCAATCAAAGATTGCAAGTTTGAATTTTTTTTTCAAATGTCGTGCCCAAATTTTGTCAGCACAAAGGTGGTTCGAGAAGGAATAAGAAAAATGTGTTCGATCTACAGGAACCCTCCATGAGGAAAAGCATGGTTCAGGGGCAAGGAATTTTGTTCGTTTTGCAGAGATCCTCTAGGAAGAGAGTGCGGCTCAAGTAAGTTCATTCTTGGCTTCTCAGGACCCTCCTGAATAATGGGACTTAATTTAAAATTTTCTAGACCCTCCTGAATAATGGGACTTAATTTAAAATTTTCAGGACCCTCCTAGATAATGGGACCTAGTTTCAAATTCTAACATGCATGAGTAACAAGATCTAGCCTAAGTCTTACCACAAAGAAATATAAGTTGGCTTTGAAGTTTTCATTCTTAAGATAGGATTCAATTCGAAATTTTCAGGACCCTCCTGAATAATGGGACTTAGATTTAAGACCTCCAAGATAACAGGATTTAGTGTAAGTTCTGTCGTAGGGAAATATAATTTAGCCTTAAAGTTGTCACGCTTAAGATGAGATTTGATTTTAACTTTCAGGATCCTCCTGGATAATAGAATTAGGTTTTAAGACCTTCATAGATAACGAGATTTAGCGAAAGTCATACCTTTAGGAAATATAAGTTAGCTTTAAAACTATCATTTAACTAGGAGTTTCCAGGACCCTCCTGGATAATAGGATTTAGCTTTTAAATTCTTAGAGATTTTGGGATACTATGATTCGATTAACACTCACATATGTTCCTGATATCGAACTGGAGCAAAAAAAATTCTTTTGTTTTGTTAGTTTTATTGTAATCAGGTTCACAAGCAGCAGTTTCAGAGGGGTCAGTTCAAATTATTGGAAATTAGGAGCCCACCTGGAGAACAAAGGGAAGCAGTTCAAGTTTCAAGGGAAGCAATTCAAGTTTCAAGGAAAAGTAATGCAAGTGTTCAGTAATTAGGAGCCCACCTGAAAAACAAAGGGAAGCAGTTCAAGTTTCGAGGAAAATCGGCGCAAGTGTTGGTAATCAGGAGCCCACCTAGAGAACGAAGGGAAGTAGCAATGTTCAAAGGAAGACAACAATCAGGAGCCCACCTGAAGAACAAAGGGAAGCAGCAATGTTCAAAAGAAGACAACAATCAGGAGCCCACCTGAAGAACAAAGGGAAGCAGCAATGTTCAAAAGAAGACAACAATCAGGAGCCCACCTGGAGAACGAAAGAAAGTAGTGAGGTACAAAGGAGTTCAGCAATCAGGAGCCCACCTAAGAACAAAGGGAAGCAGTTCAAGTTTCGAGGAAAAGAAGCGCAAGTGTTGGTAATCAGGAGCCCACCTGGAGAACGAAGGGAAGCAGTAATGATCAAAGGAAGACAACAATCAGGAGCCCACCTGGATAACGAAGGGAATCAGCAATGTTCAAGGAAGACACTAATCAGGAGCCCACCTGAAGAACGAAGAGAAGCAACAATGTTCAAAGGAAGACAGCAATCAGGAGCCCACCTGGAGAATGAAGGGAAGCAGTGAGGTTCAAAGGAGGTCAGCAATAAGGAGCCCACCTGAAGAACAAAGGGAAGCAGTTCAAGTTTCAAGGAAAAGCAGCGCAAGTGTTGGTAATCAGGAGCCCACCTGGAGAACAAAGGGAAGCAGCAATGTTCAAAGGAGGATAGCAATCAGGAGCCCGCCTGGAGAACAAAGGGAAGCAGCAAGGTTCAAAGGAAGTCGGCAATCAGGATCTCACCTGGATAACAAAGGGAGAACAAGGCAAGTTTCGGAGGAAAGGAAGATAATTCAAATGCTTGAAATCAGGAGCCCTCCCGGAGAACAAAGGGAAAGAAACAGTGGTCAAAGGAAGACGGTTCAAGTTCAGCAATCAGGCACCTACCTGGAGAATAAGAGAATTCACTTCAGAATACAATTCAAGTTAGCAACAAAAGAAGCCCGCGGTAAGAATTCGAGTCAATAGTCCGAGGTGATCAACAAAAGTTAGTAACAATAAAAAAAAAAAGGCAAGAAGTTAATCCAAATACAGAAGTTGATGAAAGATGTGGGCTGATCAATATATGGCCGAGGTCACAAGCACTGCATGTCTGGTCTTGATCCGAAAAGCTGAAGAAGGATGAACTAGAACCTGCAACTAGCAAGCATCAAGGTTCAAATCTAAAGTGTGCATGAAGAACCACTCAAAACTCAAGATCAAGCTTTAGAAGACTTATAGATAGGAATCTTGTAACTCGTAGTTGATAGGCTTAGCTAGTCTTTTTCATGGTTTGATTTTTGATGTAACATCAGGACCGCGGACCGGAACCTCGGCGAAACGGCACCTCGATTAGCTCTCCACCTCAGCATACTCCATCATCTCACTCACCTCTTAACTACACGTGGCCTGATTCCTTTATAGCCAAGGATATGTAGGCCGCTCAGATACCAGGACTCGGTCACATTTCCCTTTTCTCTTAGTTTTGGTCTCCTTAAATAAGGGTCGGGTCAAAAAACCTGTCTAGTCGTTCTTTGTTTGAAAATACTTCGTATTTCCAGTCAAAGAGGGGCAGTTGTAGACATGTGATTTTTGACCCTCCCCAAGATTTTTCATATTTTAGCACCTAAATATTTAATTTAGGCCTAATATAGCTATTTCAACTAATTTTAACTCTTTTACTTTATTTTATTGCAAGAAAAATGAAAATTACAAAAAAAATTGTTTCATTAATGTTTTGTAGTCATTTTTAATCTTAAAAAATACCAAAAAATAGTTTTATTTTAACGGTCAGTATTATTTTAATAGTTATTTTATTTAAGTAGGACTAATTAATAAATGAGGTCGTATTTTAATCTCGTTCGCAGGAAAAGGATAAAACTTGGGCTCGAGCAACCCATTTTTAGGTCTAATTTTGGACCTAGCCCATAATTCCCAAACCCATTAAGTTCAATATCCAATACCCATTAAGCTAACCCCAGGGACCCTTCTACACTCTTCTTTGGAACAAAAAATAAATAAAAAGACCCTAAGGACCTAAGAGCAATTAGCACAAAAATACACATTTAGACCTAGACCTATATAATAGGGGTAAGGCCTAATCAGCGAAAGGGAGCGAACACAAAAAAAGGGTCTTGATCTTCTGAACAAAAAGAAGAAACGGGCAGATAGGAGGAGGTGGGCAAGAAAATTGGGGATCTGAGAAAAAGAGGAAAATCCCAACACCTCTTTCCTCTTCACTACGGTTCCGAGATCCACTGTTCCGAGATCACTGTTCATCCTCCCTAAAACCAGCACTCGCATCGAAATGCCAAGTGATTCAAATCCCAGCTAGTTTCGGTCTTAGTTGTTTGAAAAATGGGGGTTTGAGTTGAGGATGACGATGGAGTAGTTGAGTTCCGACAAGATTTTGAGGTTTCATGGAGGTTCTCAGTTGGTCGCGACTAAGGAAAGTGTAAACCCAAGTTCATTTTTGAAAAGGCTTCTAAAGGTTCGTTAATTACCTATTACTTTTTTGCACTCATCTTTCAAATATAGAAGTTTTTCTTAGCAAAGTTGTTTGAATCTTCACGTCATCTGTTGAGCTTTTATGAGCTTTGTCATGTTTCGGTTATTTATTTATTGAGATTAATTATTTATTAGTATTAAGCTTGTCTAATTTCATTGGTAGAGTGAAATATGATATTTTTGTTTGTTTAAGCTGAATAATGAAAAGAGATTTGGGTCTACTGCTAGTGGGTTATGGGATCTAATTTGTTCGATTGGGTGTGGGCATATGCTACAAGAGAATTGGGTCTTACCTTGATTTTGCTTATTTCGCCTTTTCTAAAATGGCAAATTTGTTTAAAACTCAATAATTTCCAACATAATACTTCAAGAGCCATGGTTTCTGATTTAATTCGGCCTTAATTTATATTTGATCAATATATATTTATACCTTACTTTCTTGGATCAATAAAGCTACTATATGGCATGGATATAAAAGGACGTGATAGGAGTCTGAATGCATATTTGATAAATAAATAAATATATATATATATAAAAGTAAAGTAACTTGGTTGGAGGTTTATTCTTTCCATTTTTGTTTGATTTATTGCCATGCTGGACACAGGCTTTTCTATTGTGAAATTCATGGAGTTTGTCTCCTTGCTATTTGTTTGGATATAGCCATTGAGTTGGTTTTCTGGGATAATTGGTAATTGAAGTACTCGAGTGGTTAAACCATTTTATAATGTTTAAGAAAGGTTTGTTAAAGTGGATAAGTTGTTGTTTGGTTTAATTGGCGTAGAAACAAGTTTAGCAGGCAGTGAACTTTCGATAGTTAATTTGAATTAATAATATCGATAACCCATGGCCCTCGGATAATTAATGATAACTCTTTAGAAATCGAGGTGTGCCATTAATTAAATTTTTTATGGCCCTCGCAAACTTGAAAGTGCGTAGTTGCTTTAGACGCGCTATTTAAAATTAATTTCCTAAACTCGGGGGTACATTTCATGTGACCCGGTCTTAATTTCCAACAAGGTTAAATAGAACGTGTCATGAACCACGGGTGCATTTCATGTAGCGTGGCTTGCGATGTGTTTTAAATAACCTTGAATCAATTTTTTAAATAAATAAAAGCGGTTTTAAAGTTAAAAATGCACATAGGTTTAAAAGTGTTTTAAAATCAGATAATAGGCCAATAATATCAGTTGAGCGACCGTGCTAAAACCACGGAACCCGGGAATGTCTAACACCTTCTCCCGGGTTAACAGAATTTCTTACCCGGATTTCTGTGTTCGCGGACTATAAAACAGAGTCAATCTTTCTTCGATTCAGGATTTTTAACCGGTGACTTGGGATATCATAAATTATCCCAAGTGGCGACTCTGAATTTTAAATAAATAATCTCATTTCGATTGTCACTTANTTTATAATTTTTAAAGACTTTAAACCAATTTATTCCTACCTTTTATTATATATAAATATCCAATAAGTATCCTCTAAATTTTTTTATGATTATTTAATCGTACAAACTTTGCGTAATGGCTTCCTGGCCACTTAAACTTGTAGGGCTTTTGAAAGCCGATACATGAACTTTGGGTTTTCTCATTTGAACACTCCAACTTGACAAAATGGGTAATAATAAACACAGTTGACCATTGACCATGCCTATGTGGAAGCACTACAGCTGACATGTCTAAACTGTGTGCAAATCACGCTCCCAAGACGTGTGAATAGTATAGTTTTTACTTAAAAAAATTAGAATTAGAATAAAATATAAATAAAAAAGAAAAAAAAAGACTTTTCCAATTTTTTCATCTTCCCAGGGGTCCACCATGGATTAAGTGATGCTACGAACTTCACCAGACCATGCCGGAGCATGTAAGTTCAGAATCCTAGTGAAAGAGACTGAGTAGAACTGGAGGAGGCATTGGCATTTGGTCGAACACTGTTATATGAACAGTGTGCAGAATGATCATTTTGGATATTCGAAAGATTTCGCCCATGTAAGGTCCGGTTTGAAGGTTTGGAAACATTCTCCTGAGGAGCAGGAGTAGTTTGGCATTGGTTTTGACTCCTTTGGTTTGCCTGATCACCTTGCCCAGCCAACTGGTGAAGTTTTAAGTTTTCAACTTAGTGGTGATGGTTGATTTCTCGAATGGATTGAGCTGAATCTTTTCATAGAGGATCCATGGGTGTAGTAGAAGGGATTCCAATTGGAAATTGGTCTCCAATTGGCCCCGAATTGATAGGGGCATTTCGTCGAACAACTTGTTTAACAAGACTGTCTGAGCTTTTGGGTTGTAAAATTGGAGGAATTGGTTGGTATCCATATGCAATTGGAAGTGTAGGAGCATTCTCCTCATCAAGGCGAACATTTTGGTACCTTTCTTTTCCAATTTGGATACCTGGAACACCTTGCGCGTTCATTTTTGTCTAGCCGGAGTTCTGCTGCTAGTCGGAGGGGACGATTCTCGCGGTGGAATTGTCGAACTATGTTTCAGGCGTTTTTTTCCTTTTTGTATTTGTAACTTTTTTTTCTAATTTTGTATTTAAAAATGGGACCCACAAATAACACATGACAAGTAATAAATAGCTTAGCATGATGTGTTGTACATGTCAGCGCAATTGATATACATGCTTGGTGGATGTGTTTATTATTACCCATTTTGTCAAATTGGAGTATTCAAATGGGAAAATCCAAAGTTTGTGTATCGGCTTTCAAAAGCCCTACAACTTTAAGTGGCTAGGAAGCCATTACGCCTATAAACTTATCATTTATACCAACATGAGGCTTTAAATATTGTCAGTGCATTTTTATAATTATATTTTCATTTTTAGGGCTAATTGCACATTTTTGCAATAATAGCCCATATTAATGTATAATTATATTATGTAGGCATAAAATGACTTTTTATATTTTTATAATATTACGTATATTTTTAATCATTTTAGTGTACAAATGATATTTTTATTATTTATGTATTACTTTTATATATTATTATTTATTTATTAAATATTGGGTATTTAAAAACTAGCCTAAATTCTACCTATTTCAGACCAACCCCCATCCCAATCAACTAATACACTAGCCCAAATACCCCATCCAAAACCAAATAACCCCAGCCCAATCAAGTAAATCTACCGACCCAAAAAACCCCTCTTAAATCATGGCCGTTGATCTTTGAGATCAACGGCCCATATTACTCCTACTCTTTTAATTATGCCCAAACCCCCTAACCCTAAATAATTCTTACCTGTCTGCTGTCCTTAAGTCCTCTCGTCTCTCATCTCTCAAACCCTAGCCGTCTTTTCCAAATCACTCTCCTAATCCCACCTGACATGGGATTCCATGGATGTTTCTTGCCATATATCATCTCTCTTTGGTACTAGGTCCTTCTCTATACTGCTTGCCTAAACATGGCAGGCAGATCTTGTAAGAATCGAACCAAAATTGGTTCAAATTCTTGACATTTTCACTATTCCGTCTATGTTCATTCTTATTCTATTATGGGCATGGATCTTTGTGTATTCTTACTTACCCTGAAATTAGGGTTTCAAATCTCTTTTAGATCGAACCAAAACTAGTTCGATTCTTTGATTTTAAGCGATATTTTTGTCTATATTCATCTTATTTTATGCAACACTTGATGTTTTTTTTTTGAATCTGCTGATTTGTGTACTTTCCCTAACATTAGGATTTTGAAATTTCTCTCTTTTCCTTACTAATTTCGATTGCATGTGATGTTCTTTCCTTTCTAGTGTTTGACTGATGATTTTTCTTATTTGGGTGTTCGATTTCTACTGCTATATAAACCCATCCCATTTTCCCTTTGTACAAGACTGGAAATCGTTAAGAAACTCACTAAAACTGAACTTACTACTCTTTGTTCTCGTATACTCTTGTTCTATATACTGATTCCTGGCCGGCTGAAAGCCAAGGCCTGAAATTCAAGATTTTTGCTACTGTAGACTTTGCTCTTACTTGTTTTTTGCTTAACTGGTGAGTTGTTGAACCCTTTACAATTTTGTTCCTATGTATTTATAACTTGCATATGTTTTCACTTCTGAAGTTCATAGCTTAATGTGTTTTCTGGGCTGTTCTCGTATGCAATTCTGACGGTCTTACTTCAATTAGGCCTTTCTAATTTAAATTCCATTATATTTGTAGTTTGAGACATGCTTAGACTTAAGTTAATTAAGTTCTCTTTAAGTCTGCCTAGCCTATGTGTTACTGATGTTTAGATCCTTTGCACGTTAGCCATCTCCTTAGTGTTTCAATTGGTTATTAACCCTGTTACTTGAACATGTTTTTCATATGCCCTCTTATGGATTAGTTGACTAAACATGAATGTATTCATTAAGTACCTAGCATAAGTTTGTCTCTGAACTTGGTATGATGATATGCAACATGTTTGATCCTGTATGCTTCTACCATGTCTTCTCAGTAACTGCCTTAATTTGTTCTCATTTTGTTAAAATATGTTGCCAACTGATATGATCCTTTCTTGTAACGCTAGCACCTACACTTAACATAATCTGAACCTTTTTCTTACTATGAGTCTGTGTACATTAATCTTGCAAACTTGTCTTGTTAATATATGTATTATGTGTTAGAACTTATTTTTTGAAACTTTGTTAAGTCTGTTTTTAAAACCTAAGCATGTTCTATCACCTGTTCTATGTGCTCAATTTGAATATGTTTGTGTCCCTCCGTGTTGTCCCTTAGCTAGTCTATTCCCTTATTGCTTGGTCTCTTTGAGTTCTTATTCTTTGCGGGCTGAAAGCCAAGGCTACTTAGGTTCTATCCTTTGACCTCCCTAGTGTGAGCACTGCTCGAGGTTCAATTGAGACCCTTGTGAACTCTGACACATTAGGACTTTGTCCCTAGTCATTCTCTGAATTATTTATGTCAGCCTCCCTAGTGTGAGCACTGCCCTAGGTTCTTGAAACCCTTGGGAACTCTGACATGCTAGGGTCATGGTTTTATATGCTCAACTCTGTTTTCTACCTACTGGGTGAATCAATTGGTTTCTGGTTGCCTTATGTCAATGAAGATGTAATTTCTGGGTTGCTGTAAACCATGAGAATGAAGGCCTGGCCTGGCTGGATGTATCTTTGGGCCTGTTGTAGGTTCACTATAGTTATTTATTTCTGTAATTTATGCCATTCATTTGGGTCTATAATAACATTGTAATAATAATTGAGGTATTAGTAAATTTCTAAAAGTAAATATTTATATTCCATGATTCGAAGTCATAAATTATTAACACTAGTCCCAAAAGATATTTAGAAAATATGATTAAATTACTTCAGAGGAAAAAATAATCTAATGGAGAATTGTACGTGATGAGTCGCTCAAGGTTTGAGCTATGAAAGGAGAGTGCGGAATCGGAATAGGAAGTTAAAACTAAGTAAAAGTTATACTATGTTATGATAAAAATCAAAATATGGTGGATGTCTACTCTTCCTCCATGATCTTTCTCTCA